CCGGTGGAGGAAGCACTTCAGTCTTAGAATCGCTCCCAGTCTTCTTTCCCTTCCTCATGTTTACCTTGAGAAGCAATGCAGGCCTCATTACCTCAGCCACTCAAGAAAATTCTGAACATCTTGCCAATGCCTAGATCACAAGATGGCATTATGAACAGGACAAAACTACACAGAAAGAATTGACTGTAATAGTGGAACCTGACACATTATCACACATTTGAGAAGAGAACCTTCTAGATGCTGCTCAAATCATACCCTATGAGCTAACATCTTGGGTCATCCAAGACGTCTCACAAAATGAAAGGGAATGAAATGAATACTAAGCAATTCTTGACTGAGAAAAAGGAGTCATTTTGGAGGTTTCAATTATAGAGATAACAAAAATAATCAAAGACAACATCTACAGAGATGCTAGGCCCTTTAAGGGTTCTCCATGAATTAATTCTACCACTCCTCAGTGTTGGTGTGATGGGTAATCTGGATTGTCAACTGGACTGAATTCAGAAGTACCTAAGAAATCAGTGGAGTATATCTCTGAGTGTTTCTTTGAAGGTGTTTCCAGAGGGGATTAATTAACTAAGAAGGAGGACCCCCGCCCCCCCGAGTGTGAATAGCACCATCCTGTAGGCTGAAGACTGGGATGGAATAGGTAAAAAGGAGAAAGCCTGCTCACACAGGCATGTCCTCTCTGCCACAAACTATGAGCCAAAATAAATCTTTTCTTCTTTCAATTCTTTCTCTTGGGTTTTTATCACAGTGACTAAAAGTCTAGTACAGTAGATATTTTTTATTTTCTTCATTTTACAGATGAAGAAACAGAGGTACAGAACTTGGGTAAGATGATACTGTCATGCAAACATGCACACGTGCTGGAAATATGATTCAAACTCAAGTTAACTCTAACATCTGATTCCTTAATCAAATGGCTTCTCACCCTTAAATCTTAATGCCACACCCACGTGAACACAGAGACATCAAACACAGGAACTGCTTCACATATGTTATCACTTTGATTTTTCTTCCTTTTGTGATGTGTTTTGCTCTCATAAATCTTCATTCTTAGAATTTTTATGTCCCTTGACTACTAATTGATGTGAGATGGGATGTGGTGGGGGTGAAGCTTGGGAAGGACGAATGAAATGCATCTCACTCTGAAAATCCTTTGTCTATCTACTAGTGTTTCTTAAAATAACAGCTGTTAGAGGGCAGAGTTTGTTCTTTAAATTATTCACTAGATCTGTATATCCATTTCTTGAGGTCCTTATAAAATAGCATGTAAAACAGAGTGGATTGTGTATACTTGAGGAGATTAAGAAGTCTTTCTTAACAAAAGACTTAAAATAGTATATATTACTTATTTTTTTAAAAAACATAGTTAAGCAGAAATAAAATCATTGATCTTAGCATATAAATAAAATTATTTGCCAGTAAGATGATACATGATACTAATATGAATATGTATTTAAGGATTTACATGGGTATATATTTGAATAATTATATAAAATATGAGGAAGAGTGCACTTGCCTGTCTTTGAATGCCAAAATGCAAAATTTCAAGTTATTGTATCACCACAGGCAAACTTTTCTTCAAGGTATCCTCATTACAGTACAAAAAGTAAGAGCACCAGATTTAGAAGGTAGAGGCAATGCTTATATAATCCTGCACTGTTGACCACAGTATGAACTAAGAAGGAATTTTGTTCATTTTATTTGTTACAATCAGTAATCTCCTTTCTGTGAATTTAATGAAATCAAATAAAAGACGGAAAAGCTACACCTGTCTCACAACTATTGTTCACAATAATAAAAAATTGAAAATGACCAAAATGTTGCTGTATCTCAATGCTTCATTAAGTCACAGCACATAACCTTGATTGAATAGTAGGTAATTTCATATTATTGCTAAAAGATTGTAAAGATTTAAAAATGCTTTAAAAATAATCCCAAATGAAAACCATCATTTAAAAACTTGTTTCTGGGGACTGGAGAGACGGCTCAGCAGTTAAGATCACTGGCTGCTCTTGCAGAGGACCCAGGTTCAATTCCCAGCAACCACATGCAACTAATCACTGTCCATAATTCCAGTTCCAGGGGATCCAATACCCTCTTCTGTCCTCCACAAACACTAAATGCATATGGTATTTTTACATACATACAGACAAAACACTTAAACATTAAATGAAATAAACAAAAAATTTTAAAAACTTGTTTCTGTGTTTTGACTGAAGATGCATAAAATTATGCACATTAACAGATTTCTATGATTTTTACTTTCTGTGTATTACATCTTTGATGGATTAACAAATGTATTTTGAATCTATTCTCTTTCATTGAGTTAATCATGAAGCAGCTTGCAATTACAAGAAAATGTAACACCTGAAAAAAGCTGTGTGTTTAGGAAAGGTGTGATGTTGGACCAATGAGTATATGTGCTAGATGTCATGTTCTTGTCTCCTTCCAACCAAAATGTTTTACTATTATTAATTAGAAGACTTTCAAATATTCTGAATTAATTGCACAAAAAACTCCCAGTTATAACAAAAATTGCAAAATCTTTACATACTTTGCCCTTATTGGCTTTGATTCTATAACTTTTATTTAAATGATTTATGATCTCTGATCCTTTTCCTATAATCCATCTCAAATCCTCTCTGATTATAGCACAATATAAATAGGTAAAAAATAATAATGGTGCCTCATGCAACCTAAATAGTGGCATTTCTTTGAATAAAAAATTACAGATAAAATTGGAGGAGGAGGAGGAGGAGGAGAAGGAGAAGGAAAAGGAGAAGGAGAAGAGGAAGGAGAAAACTATTCTAAATGATACATGTTTCCATGTTTCTGAACATGTGACATTGTGTGATGTGATGGGTTGCATGCTTTGGATTTGCTGTGGTCTACTATAAAACCTAAAACTTTGCTTTTAAATAAAAAGATACAATATTACAGTCAAGCAGATTCTTTCACTGGCTCTGGTGGTAGAAACTATCTTCATTTTTACTGATAAAATAAAGCAACCCAAAACAGGGCATGGTGGTACACACCTTTAATCCCAGAAGCAGAGTGAGGTGAATCTCTGTGAAAATGAGGGGCAACCTGGACTCCACTGTGAGTTCCAGGTCATCTGGGGTTACAGGGAGACCCTGTCTTTAAAAGACCAGAAAAAAAAAAAACCCAAAACAAACAAACCAAACCAAAAATGAAACATATACTTTCTAAGAAGCCTGTGTAGATGAATAAAAACAATACCTCAAACATAGAAAATAATATGTGGCAAATATTTCCATAGCAATTCACAGTTACTGTCATTTCATTTTCAAGATACATCTTTAAGGAAGATGCTGCCATTAATTTCCAGGTTATAGTTAAGAAAATAACCAGAAAAATCCAACAGTTTACCCAAAGTTTCCAACTAGAAAGATAAATATGTCAAAGGCCCACAAAATAATGTTGCCTCAGGTGGGAGAAGCTATATCAAGCCACCTAATGCTTAAAAAGTTTTAGAATTATAATGAATTTTGTAAGTACATAACTTAAATATACCACTATACTATATTTAGGGGGCTGGAGCACTTGGAAGATTAATGGCAAAGAAACAAGAAACCTAGCAAAAAGAAAAGTATATAAAACTTATCCAGTGCTCTCATATTTTGTGATGAAATTCCTAAAATACAGTATTTTAAAATTATAGCTTTCATGTCTATTAAAATCTGCCCTACAGTTCATAGCAGAGGATCATAAGTTTAGCTATGTTATGTGTCAATCATCTGTTACGTAGGTAAAGATTGTTCCTTTGGTGTCACTGACTTGGTTTTCATTATAATTTAAAGCAGTAAGGTAAGGACTTCCATTTCATATCCTTGATTCTCCCCTTCCTCTCTCTCTCACAGCCTAGGTCCAGTAAGTATATTTGCAGCAAGTCCTGTTGATTTAATCTCCAGAACCTCTTTCAAATCCATGTCTTACTCCACCACAAGCTATCACCAGCTTGTAAATTTGTCCACAATCCCTCTTCAATCCATTCTCTTGGAGGCAGCTAAAGGGATGTTTAGAAAATGCAAAACACCTTATATAACTCCTTGTCTTGAAATTCGTTGGCATTCTAACTTCCTCCTTTCTGACTGGCTGCAGACCTTCTAGGTCATGGGCAGTGCTTTCTGCCTTGTCCCATTCTATTACTCTGGTGCTCTGGCCCCAACTCCTTTCTCCCTTTGTGTATATCTATCTATGTATCTATCCCTTTAGAGCAGCCTCATCTTCTCTCCCACCTAACTGAAGACAAGCCACCATTATTCTCTAGTCCTGCTTCCAGTGACTTTCTCTAAAACACTCATCACAACCCATCACAGTGTGATTTCTTCATTTTTTCATTGCTTACTTTTAACTGTGTCTTCCTAACTAGACACTCAGCTCTGTGAGGCTTCTCCTGTGCATTCCTGCACCTCCTCTGCCTCATACCTTGTTCTCACATGAAATACGGCTATTTCAATAGACTGATAAAAGCCAATAGAAATACTAGGCAGGGAGCCATAGTGCATTGAAATATTGCTTATTTATTTACTTATTTACTTATTTACTTATTTATTTATTTATTTTTTTATTTATTTATTGTCATGATGTACCCAAAGCTAAAACATTGGAATTCAAAGACAAAATTTCATAAGTAACCAAATGCAGAATTTATCTGGCAGGTCTTTTCTTAACATTTGAACTGAATGAAATTATATAATGCTATTGAAAGCCCAGAAGGAAAGTGCTATTACATCTTTTAAAAAAAACTGATGAAACACAAGGCCTCTCTAAAAGTCCTTCTTGGTGAAAGGAGCACTGTAGATGTTGTCTTTGAAAGTTTAAACACTAATTATTCTGTCTCCGAAGGAAGACTCATATGTATATTGACTAAGTAACACTTTTTTCTGTGATTATAGAATTGAAGTTAAGATCTTATGCTTATTAAATAAGTGTGTTACCACTGAACTACATTCCCAGCCCCTGAATTAATTAATATGGAACACTTCACAGATCTGCACAGCATCCTTCTACAGAGGCCATGCTAGCCTTCTCTGTATCATTTCAATTTTAGTGCTGCTAAAATAAACACTGAATTTATTTTTAAAAGAGCTCCAATATCACTTTTGTTGGATTTGAATTTTACTTTCATTATATATTGACAAATTATAGTTATACATATTCGTACAATGCTGTTTGATTTAATATATCCATACCTCAAATAGCTAATATTTGAAAGGATGAGAATACTCAAAATTTATTCTCAGTGATCATGAAATGCACAGTACTCAGTTCTTAGCTCTGTTTACTAAGGAGTATATCTGATGTAAAAAGTCAAACTTCTTCCTTTTATTTAGCTAATCCTGTATCAACTTTAAATCTGTTAAGATTTCCATGGGTAAATGCCAGCATGAATATCTACTGCCCTAGCAACTAAGCCAAATGAACTGGAAAAAAAAAAAAAAAAAAAAAAAAAAAAAAAAAAGAATAGTAATCCATGGGCAGTAGCCCAAGAACCACTCCAGGACCCTGGAACTTGCCAGTCCTCCTCCATCACTGATCTGGCTGGCTGACAATGGGCATTAATGACATTAACAAGGTCATGTGTGAAATATGCCTTTTCTCCCAAATCTCATCAACTCACAGGTGTCATCTGGCTTGGCTTGCTTCATTTTGGATGCACTGGCAAACCCCTCATCTTGGCAACGTGGAAAGACATAACCAGTATAGGGGTCTATACACAAGGCTGTCTACCACATTGTATCTGGGAAAGTTCTCATACTTCATGAATGTTAATGAAAGAGACAAACTCTGAAGGAGTAAGGCGTGAGGCTTTTTCCTGAAGAAAGCCCAAGAATTCTCAGGATTTGCTCATGGGTAGGGACAATCATAGTCCAAAACTTTCTCAAAGGCACAATTTACTCATTGTAAATTGTGAATTTAAGAAAAATTCTACTGGGGCTGGAGAGATGTCTCAACAGTTACGAGCACTGGCCACTCTTACTGGGGACCTGTGTTTAGTACCCAGTACCAACATGGCAGCTAACAATCATCTGTAACTACAGCTCCAGGGGATCTGATACCCTCTTCTGGCCTCCATGGGCTTGCACGACATGGGTACCCTAGACATGCAGACAAAACACTCATACACATAAATTTTTTTAAAAAAAGAAAAAAACTCACTGAATAACTATATGTCATCATAAAAGCATATGTATTGACAGTGTGTAACCGAACACCCATAAATGAGTAGAAAAAGTAAATAAATAGAAAAGTTCACTATATAATTGGTAATTTCCCCCAAGCAACTTTGTAGTAAACCTTGCACATAAGGAAAAACGAATTACCTTGCTCCCAATAGATTTTATCTGGTATGGAAGCTGCATTTCTTTTGTTTATGAATCCTATTTGATTGAGTTTTACTACATTATAATTTACTGTTCATTCACCTTGGCATCATTTATTTTGTATATTATGAAGAATAATGAGTTGTAGAAAAAATGGGCCAAAAGTCAAAAAACAGCACTTATAATTGTAACTGCTGGCTATTTTTATTGTCTAGGTTGTTTAGTTATACTTTCATAGTACATGGAATTTCTGAAGTGTTCTGGAGATAAAATTTGCGTGCTTGAATTTTACCCAAAGTTTGTAAATAAGGTCTTGAGGCTTTTATTAGGTTTAAGCTTCAGGTGGTTATGACAGGTGACCTTAAGTCAGTCAGGTTAGCCAGGCCAGTCTTAGTGATAACATTGGAGCAGAGACTTAGGTCAAAGAGAAGAGGATAGAGACCTTGAGGATTCTCCTTCTTCTTAGTTTCATTTTGGTATAATTATTTCTTATCTTCTTCCCTCTCTGAGGAGAGATGGAGATGTGAGGGCACAAGGCCATGGAGAGATTCTTAAGACTCCCAAACTGGAGAGCACAGCTCAGAGAAAGAACTGTCACCAGCACTTCTGCTATTTTATCTTTTAGACTAAGTCACTCAGCTTTAACAACCCTTGCCTTTGAGATCACAGGGTAATTATATACTAATTTAAGATCATGAGATTCTGAGAGATTAAGTGACTTCAAGAATCAAATAGTCAAAGCTCTTTATTTTAGAGCTGAGGAAAATGAAATTTGAAGAGGCTATATGAATAATTCAAGGTCACAACTTGCTAATGGCAAAGCCATTACTGGAGCCCAGGTACCCTAATTTGTAGCTCAGACATCATCTCTCAACATCTCCCTGAGTTCTTGGGGTTTGAGGACGAAGGAAAGGCTGGAAATACTCTGAGACCACAAATTCTTCAGGAGACAAATTCTACTCAAAAAGCATCTCTCTTCTATGATTTCTATTTCTGCTGAAGATGCTATTTCAGGAGCCAGTTTGCTGTGGATAAGACTGACAACCTACTTTTTGTGCCACCTCCCAAAAGACAGTGGCAAGCTTCCTCACCATTGCTCAGCTGGAGCCCACCAAACAGGTTTCTGAAAGTCCTTTTATATTGAGCTACTTGCCCAGTCTCCACAGAAATGCCTCAAGAATTTCCATTTGGAAACCCAGTTTCCAGAACCTCTCATCATGTGGGCAGAAGTAGACAAGTTGTTTCAGAGTATAGTAGGATATTTTGACAAGAGATAGGAGCTTACTGTGGACCACTGGGTATCAATTCAGAAGTTTTCCAGTTTTTGTTTTTTTTTTTTTAATGTGTATGAGTGTACTGTATGCTTGTATGTAAGTGCACCTGTGCGGTGCAATGCCTGCGGAGGACAGAAGAGGCCGTCGGATCCCCTGGAGTTACGGACAGTTGTTAGCTGCCATGTGGGTGCTGGGATTCGAACCCAGGTCTTCTGCAAGAACAACCAGTGTTCTTAACCGCTGAGCCATCTCTCCAGCCCAGAAGTTTTCCATTTTAAGCCTGGGACTCTGTTACTACTTGTAGAAATGCATCGAATCTAAAATGGGCATTTTCCAAAGGCTTACCATGTAGAATAGGAAGGCTTGGAGAGTAGTCCCCTCTTCAAAGTGTCTACAGGCAATCCTTTTTGCCATTTATTAAATATCTGTTTTGTGTAGAACCCATCTGCATGGTAACTCTAAAATGTGCTATCACTGGGTATTGAATTTCTAAGATTAGTCTTTTAAAATTTTTTCTTCAAATTTCATATAATATATTTTAAGCATATTTAGACCACTCTCCCCTGCCTGTACCCCTCTTAAGTCACCCCCACCAGATTTCGTGTACTCTGTCATGTATATTAAGGCCTGTAGAGTCAAGTTTGTGTCCCCAAATGGCCTTTGGTGTACATCCGTCCAATGGAGCCAGGTTATCCTATTTAGTGTCATACTCTTACAGGTTTTTTCTTTTTCTTTCTTTTTTTTTTTTTTTGGGTTTTTCTGAGACAGGATCTCCCTATAGTCCCAGCTGCTCTATAATTCACTACATAGACCAGGCTGGCCTTGAACTCACAGAGATCTGCTTGCCTCCTGGCTAAAATACCATACCCTTAAAAAAAAAACCCATCACTTCCTCTCCCAGTAATTATCAGTTGCCAATAGTTCCTCAGCTAAAGTTGGGGCTTCTTACCCACTTGCTCACTTCTATGCTGGGATTTTGTCTGGCTTGAGCTTGCATGGGACTTTCCACCTGTCACCATTTCTGTGAGTTCATATAGGTTTCTCTAGCTTTTAAAATCTTTCTGCCCCCTATTCCCCAAATGGTTCCTGTACCTCTCACCATTTCTGTGAGTTCATATAGGTAACTTCCTAGCTGTCTGGAAGACTGTTTCTCTAGCTTTTAAAATCTTTCTGCCCCCTATTCCCCAAATGGTTCCTGAGCCTTGAGTGGCAGAGGTTTGATACAGGCGTCCTATTCACTGAGGAGCACTCTGCAGCCTCTTATTCTCTGCACTTTGGCCAGTTGTGGTTTTCTGAGTTATTCTGTTGCGTGAGGAAGCTTCGCTGGGGAGAGTTGAGAGATGCATTAATGTTCTTTCTTCCTTCTGTTCCACTATGTTCCCTGAGCCTTAGGGTGTAGAGGTTGCACCGTACATATGTCACTTAGGGTTGGGCAGATCACAGTAACTTATTCTCTGTGTTTGACTAGCTGTGGAACTTTGTAGTAGTTTTCATCTGTTGCATAAAGAAGTTTCTCTGATGAGGGGTGAAAAAGTACACATGTTTGTAAATATAAGGTTATATATTTAAAATAGAGTAAGAAATTAACATTGGTCTAGGGACATGACAAAAGTAGGTTTTTCTATAGGGTCTATCTATAACATTGGTCTTTTAACATCTGCTAACTATATTACCTTTGGAGATCACTTCAACTCAAAAAGTTAAAGCAAAGTGTAACTTTGGGTTTAACTTGACTGGTAATATAGGCAAAAGTGAGATCACTTTACTTTAAATCTGGATAATTGCCTTTACCCTCTACTTTAACTGGACCTGGAGACATGGCCAAAGAAGTATTTTGCACAGGGTTTTATGTTTGGTTTATAGATAGGTATTTGTTATTCAACATAAATGGAACACAATGCAAAATTTTTAAAATGTCTTTTGAGAATAAAGTATAAAGTCTGTTCAAACTATCGATTACACACCATTTCATCACTGAAAGTGAAAGCTGACCTTTTCTTCCAACTATAAGTTCACTGCTGCCAGCTTGCTGTTAATTTCCTCTCTCTTATTGGGTATGCCTCCATCTCATGTCCTGCTTTTACTGTACAGCCTTGGACTTCTACAAGTTGACAAATGCTCTAAATTTTTTAAAGCTCTCCCCCGTGCCGTATACATCATGGAGACTCTGTGAGGTGTTGGTTATTCTTAAAGCCAGGTCTTAATTATTTGGATGCCAATTAACCAGAGTCTGGAATCAGCCCGACTCTGCTTTTTTTCCTTTTCTTTCCTGTTGCCTGCATTTTGGACACAGTACAGCTTGTTAGCTCCTTCAGGAAGTGGTTGGGGCAGAGGTAGGGATCAATGCCTAGAGACTTAAAGAAGTCCATTTTGTTATTTGGAAGCTCTGGTAGAACATTTGGCAAGGCTAGCTATTAAAAACACATTATAAAAGTAAATCTTACCGTGCATATCTCATTTTCATTTTTTTTTTCTTCTCA